CGAGGCCCGCCCGCGGCCGCGCCGATCGATGCGGAAGCTCGTCCCGGCGCGGCGCGGAGGTGCGTGGCGAGGCCGCCCCCGGGCCGCTGCGAAGTAGCCGCCGCGCTCGCCCTCCGGCGCCTGCGGCCGCTGCCGTGCGGCCCGGGGCGCTCAGCATGGCTCGGGCGCTCCTGGGGCTCCTGCTGTGCCTGGGCTCCGGCGCGGCGCCCGGCCCCGGCCCCGTCGCGCTCCGGCTGCCCTTGCGCAGCGCGCTGCCGGGTGCTCAGGAGGCGCGGGCGCAGCGCTCGGCCGAGGAGCGGGACGAGCCCCGCGGCGGCGGCGGCGGCGGCGGCAACTTCGTGGACATGATCGACAACCTGCGGGGCAAGTCCGGCCAGGGCTACTACGTGGAGATGACGGTGGGCAGCCCGCCGCAGAAGGTAAGGCCCCTGCCGGCGGCGAGCGTGGCGAGCGGGCTCCGCGGCAGGGGGCCGGGGGCCCTGGCGCGGCCGGGGCGCGGCTTCCCCTCGCGCGGAGGCTCGGCGGCTGCGAGCGCCGCCTGATGCGAGGCGAGCGCCGGAGGGAGCCCCCGGCGGCGGGCGGCGGGCGCGTGTGGGTGCCCGTGCAGGAGTGGCCCGGGGCCTACAAGCCGGAGGAGGGCAAGCGCCGGAGCGGGGCGTGCGCGCAGCCTGCCGTCGCCGCCGTTTATGCTGGGCCTCAGCCCTGAAGCATGCCGTGTGGTGATAACAGTGCCCCTGAGAGCGTGCAGAGTGCCCTTCCCGTTGCTCTTTGCTCAGCAGAGGGATGAATTCGAGCAGCTGTAGATTTCCGCTCCTCCGCCTCCCACCAGAGGACCAAACTTGGCCCAGGAGGCTGGCAGGGATGCTGCCCCTTGCCCCGTCCCTCATCCTCCACCCTCGCCTTTCCAGAAGGGCTTGCTCAGAGCTGCCGGATTCCAGGAAGGCTCTGACAGCCCTCCGCTCTGGCCCTGTGCCCAGTGGCAAGAGTGGCAAGCCAGGCGTGGCGCTTTCAGTGGCACTGAAGGTGCCTCATGCAGCCGGCAAGGCACCACAAGGAAGAGGAGGGTGTGTGAGAGGAAGAGAGAGCCCTGAGGCACGTGTCTCAGCGCCTCCTCTCCTGAGGCTCCCGGTGGGTAACCTTAAAGCACAAGGAATCCGTTGGATGAATAAGGCTGCCCCGGTTTCCGCCAGCTGAACCTGAAGCCCCCAGGGCAGGCGCAGGTGCTCCCTCCGGCCCGGGCTCCTGTGATTCGTGGGCCCTGGGAGTCCCGCTGCGCGGCTGAGGAGCAGAGCAGCCACGACTGCCAAGCGCTGTGGCTTATTCCGTCGCCACGTGGGCTTGCTGCGTCATGCGGTTTGCAAAGGTGCCCTCGCTGGTGCCGCTGGCCACCTCATGTGACCTCGGCAAGGATGCCCGGCTCCCCCGTAGCTGCAGGGGGCCTGCGGGGGGGATCCGGCAGGGTTTGTGGCGGTCGGTGCGTGAGTGCAGGGGCCTCGGCGCAGCGCTCTTAGGGGGCCCCCTGGCCTGGCAGGGGCGGGGCGTGCAAGCCCATGGCCTCCTTGGGTGCCCCACACAGAGGTGAGATGCCGGTGCTGCTGGCGCAACGTGGGAGTCCTGGCCTTTCCGGCTGCAGGCTGCCACTGCCCTCGCCGGGCCTGTGGGTGATGCCCGTCTGCAGAGCTGGGGGGCGGCTGCTCCTGTCCTGTGCAGGGCTTCTGGAACTGCCGCTGGGCAGGTCAGCCAGCGCCCCTCGGGGAATTGTGGCCCGCAAACGGCGAGCCAGGGCTCCCTGCCCAGCTGCATTCAGGAGCGCCTGTCCCGGCACGAGGCAGGATGTGGCCAGAGGTGTCAGGGAGAACTCGGCTGGCCCCAGAAGGTTGCCTTTTGCCTCCCGGCACTGGGAAGCGTTAATTCCATCAGACAGAGGGAACTGCAGCCCGGTCTGTTGCCTAGCACTCCGGAAGACCACTGAGCTGTCTGGCAAAGTTCGCTGAGGAAAGGATGCGGCCCTCTCACGAAAGGCCAGCAGGAACGGGGGCTTTGTGAGCGTGCGCACAGCGATGACCGCTTTCCTGGCATGCTTGGACGGGGATTATGCAGAGATGGGAGCTCTTGCGAGGTCCAGATTAAGGCTGCCCAGCAGCGGGACTTAAAAAGCTCTCGTGCTCGGTCTGCTGGAATCTCATTGCCACAGGCCTCGGGCAGCCGCTTGCAGACTTAGCCGCAGGGCCGTTGTCCTGAGAAGAGGTCGGGATGGCCAGTGGGGACGTGGGTGTCCACAGCGGAGCAACCAGGGGCGGCTTGGGGCGTGTCCCCGCCGAGCATGTGGCCTGCAGAGCTGCAGCTGGGCAGAGGGAGCCGCATCTTCTTGCTGCCGCCTGCAGACTCGGCTGGGGTGTGCGGGCACCTCCTCTGGGGTGTGGGAAAGCCTTTGTTGTGCTGCCGTGTGTCTCTGCCGGGTCACTGTTCCTCGTGCTCCGTGGCAAGAAGGGTCTTGCCTGTGGCGGCTGCTTTACTGCACATGTGAAGTGGGCTTGCTTGGGAAGCAGAGAGGGAAAGGAAGGGTGCGAGGGGGCCAGGTGCGGGGCAAGAGAGCCCGGTGGGGAGAGAGGTGCGTTTCATGGAGCCCAGCGCGCCCTGCGTGCTTCCCTCTCCGGGGCCTCTCTCGGGAGCAATGAACTCCGTTCTCTTGCCTCTAGAGTGTTCCACAACAGAGCCTGGTGACGAGGAACCAAGCATTCCCCGGAAGGCCGCAAAGAAAAATCAGTGTGACCTCACGCAGCTGGGCCGTTGCACCCGACTGCCTGAAGCGCACCGAAGGCGCTCCCCCTTGGGACGCGCTTGCCGCTGCTGCCGCTGAAGCAGCTGAGCCGCTCTCTCCTCCCCTATAATGAGCTGCTGCTGCTTTGCCGGGCGAAGAGCGTGTTTTCCTAATGCTAGGCGAGGCCAGCCCACAATTTTCTGGAACTGTGATGGTGTCTTAGTTCATCAAAGCCCAGTGGCATGTGGCCGGGGGGGGGCACTGTCCCAAGTGGGGGGCAGTTGCCCTGTGGGCTTTTGTGGCCTTGCCATTCTCTCAGCTCTCTTTGCTCTTTCCCCACCATCTTGCCTCCAGCTGAACATCCTGGTGGACACGGGCAGCAGCAACTTCGCGGTGGGAGCAGCACCACATTCCTTCCTGAGGCGTTACTACCGGCGCCAGCTGTGAGTCTGCTGAAGTGGGGCAGGGCAGGAGGAGCGCCAGCCAGGGGGCTCTGTGGGGCGGCGAGGACGTCCTCTCACTCGCTGCCCAGCTCTCCAGCCAGGAGCAGCTTGGCCCCGCGGCCCTGTGCATCGTCTTGGTGGGGGCCGGCATGTTTCTGGCATGACTGCTCTGCCCCGCTGGCTGCCTCCGCTGGCCCATCTCGAGCGTCTGGCCACGGGCTGGCAGTGCCAGGATGGCCCTGGGGCCCCCGGCACAGCGCGGGGCTAAATGGCTTCTTTCTGCGCCACGGGGAGGAGTGCCAGGGCACCGTCTGGGCACCCAGTGGACAATGGCCGGGCTGTTCCCCGGCTCCGTCTGCCCATGGCCTGCAGAGGAGCACAGAAAGGCAAGGCTGGGCCGGAATACGGAGAGGAACGCGGCCGGAAGCGGGGGCGAGAGTGGCGGCCAGTTGCAGCCAGACGCAAGGCACCCTGGCGGCCCCCTGCAGCCATGGTGGGGCGGGAAGCCTGGCGCCCGGGCCAAGCCCAGCTGCTTTGCCCAGTCTGGACTTCAGGTGTTCCCGGATGGGCACAGAGCCCCCTTCCCCCGGCCTTTCGAGGCCGCAGTGTGCAGTTTATTCTAAGGTGTAGCTGGGCACACTTTGTGGAGATGCTGAAACAGACACACACACGTGCTGGGCAGTGGAAACGGTTTTTGTGCGGTTGGGAGTATGGGCTTCCATCTTTCTACCGTTTTCCGTTGGAAGCATCCTGGGGTCTCATGTGTTGGGCATGGAGCGGGGGCCTGCACCGGATTCCGGTGCCCTCGGCTGCTGACGCCTCCCTCCGCCTGCAGCTCCAGCACCTACCGGGACCTGCGCAGGGGGGTCTACGTGCCCTACACGCAAGGCAAGTGGGAAGGGGAGCTGGGCACTGACCTGGTGGCCATCCCTCACGGCCCCAACGTCACGGTCCGTGCCAACATCGCCGCCATCACTGAGTCGGACAAGTTTTTCATCAACGGCTCCAACTGGGAAGGGATCTTGGGCCTGGCGTATGCTGAGATTGCTCGGGTAAGTCTGGCACCGGTTTTGGCAGCTCGGAGAATTGCCTCCTGCCCGCCGTGCGAGCTGGGCAAGGCGTGACACAAGGGAGGAGGTGGCTGCGCAGAAGTAGCCTGGTGGAGCGGTTCGGTCACTCTGCCTCTCAGCTGAGGAGGGTTTGGCAGCCCGCTCTTTTCTCAGCATGCTCCAAATTTTCCAGTCTTTTCCTCGAGGGCTGGTCCTTTCTTTTTCTTTTAAAATGCCTCTCTTAGCAATAGCTAATGCGGCGTCTTCCAGAGATAAGCAGAGTAGAGAGACCCCAAAGCCACACTGGGAGCCTGAGATATCTGGGGTCTAGTTCCACTCAGCTGGTGACTCTGGGCTGGTCATGGCTTGCACCCTGACCTACCTCACAGGGTTGTTGTTGTGACATAAAACGGCTGGAGGAGGCCATGCATGTGCCCTTGGTTCCTCACAGGAGGAAAAACAGTAGGATATAAATCCCATGTGGTGGTGGTGGTGGTGATGATGATAATAATGCAAATAGTAAACAAACACGGGGGGAACTGGGTTCGCCGGGCACTTTGCTCAGCTCTCCTCCTGAATCCGACCGAGGACGGCCCTAGGCCCGGAGGCTGCCTAGGCCCGGCAGCGCAGTCCCACCCTGTGCGCTTCCCGCTGAGCTGACTTTCCCGCGGCTGTCGAGGGTGCGGGCCCCGGCTGAGCCCAGGCTGCTCTCGGCCCCCGTGACGTGCCGCCTGGCTTCTTCCTGCCAGCCCGATGACACCCTGGAGCCCTTCTTCGACTCGCTGGTGAAGCAGACGCAGGTGCCCAACATCTTCTCGCTGCAGCTGTGCGGAGCGGGCTTCCCCCCCAACGACTCCGAGGCCCTGGCGTCCGTGGGCGGCAGCCTGGTGAGTGGCGAGGGGCCCCGTCTCAGCCCGGAGCTGCCTGCCTGCCGCAAGCCGGTCGCAGCACCCCTTCGCCTCAGCCCCGGAGCCCCTTTCTGGAACCCGTGTGAGGGCGGAACGGACGGCTCGTGTGTGCCGCCTTCCCACGCGGCTGCTTAGCCCGGCCCGGCCCGGCCCGGCCCGGCCCGGCCCAGAGGCGGCCGCGTGCCCGTCCACCCGCCTGCGCTTCCTTTCGACCCCTCCCTGCAGCCAAAGCTCCCGGGCGGTTCATAACATTCGGAAGCATAAAAAGCAACATACTGGGAAACGACACGGGAGCTTAAGCTTTTTAGATAAGATAAAATAAACCCCCAGATATTGGTTGGGCCCGGAGGGCTCCCAGGCTGGAGCTTCTGGAGTGCCACTACTAGCATTCGTAGGCAGTGATGGGGAACCAAGGTCTCTGAGCATGTGCTGAGGTCCTGCCGCCCGTCTCGGGGTTCTGTGTGCCTGTGAGCGAGGGGCAGCCCATTTCTCAGTGCTTGTGCCGGGTCAGCGGCCCCAGCCCCCGGGCCTCCTGCTGACCTCGCCTCCCCGGCTCCCTCCGCAGATCATCGGGGGCATCGACCCGTCGCTGTACCAGGGCAGCCTCTGGTACACGCCGATCCGGAAGGAGTGGTACTACGAGGTCATCCTCGTCAAGATTGAGATCAACGGGCAAGACCTGCAGATGGACTGCAAGGAGGTGAGCGGGCGCAGACGGGGCTGGGCGGGGGCTGCCTGGCCCTGCCGCGCTCTGTGCCGCCGCCTGCTGCCTCAAGCCCCCGTCACCCCGGCCTGGGACCCTCTGGCCCTGGGGGCTGCTGGCCCGGGACACAAAGCAGCTGCCCCGGCGCGCTCCGGGGATCGCAGGGGCGGCTTTGCCTGTCCGGGAGGCGGCACGCGGCTCGCCAGGGGTGGGGTTGGTGCACCCAAATGGCCGATGCCCCGGCCAAGCCGGCCGGCAGAAAGTCACTGCTGCAGCAGCAGGTAGCAAAGGGATTGATTCGACATCACCCATTTGTTGGATCTGGTGCTTCTTTCCCACCCCTTTTCTTCCAGCAAGGAGCCCCGGGGGGTGGGCAGTGCTGCTGTTCTCCCTCTTTTAAGCCCACGACAACCCTGTGAGGCAGGAAAGGGGACGTGGTTAACTGGCCCAAAGCCACCCAGCGAGCTGCCTGGCTGTGGGGGCTGGAGCTGACGCCCCCGTTCCAGGCCCGCACTCTCCCCACTAGGCCGCACTGGGCCTCATTTTTAGAGTCTAACCTATTTAAAAGGCCAAAGGATTGAGCAGCCGGCCGCAAAAGGCACCGTCCCGCAGCAGGTCAGAGAGTCCGGCCTGCTCGGGGAAGGCCGGCTGGCCCCTCCACGCGCAGAGCGAAGACGGCAGGCGGAGGGGAGGGTCCTGACCGCCTCGCCCTTCCCTGCAGTACAACTACGACAAGAGCATCGTGGACAGTGGCACCACCAACCTGCGCCTCCCCAGGAAGGTCTTCGAGGCAGCGGTGAAGTCCATCAAGACCGCCTCCTCGGTGAGGGATGCGCACGAGGCGGCGGGCACAGCCAGGGGGACGTGTGCTGCAAGGGGCCTGCCCCGGCTCACCGGCACAAGGGAAGACGCGTGCGTGCGTGCGTGCGTGCAAGCCAGCCACTGGTGCGTGAGCCCGGTCCTCCTCCGCGTGCGCGAAGGCTCACCCCTCGCTGGAGCCACGTGGCTTCGGCTTTGCCGACTTGGGGACAGGAGTGGAAGGCAGCTGCCCGCCCGGCCATCCACTGCCCAGCCAGTGCTGAGAGCCCTCGCCTTCCTTCCCCTGCCACAGACGGAGAAGTTCCCTGACGGCTTCTGGCTGGGGGAGCAGCTGGTTTGCTGGCAAGTGGGCACCACCCCCTGGCACATCTTCCCGGTCATTTCTCTCTACCTGATGGGAGAGGCTGCCAACCAGTCCTTCCGGATCAGCATCCTGCCTCAGGTGGGTGCCTGTGTCCCTCGGTGAGCAGGGAGAGCGCCCAGCGAGCCGTAGGGGGTCCTTCCGGGGTGGCCCTGCAGTCCGAGCGGCAGAGGAGGGCACGGGCGGCTTCCTGGCAGTGCCACAGGGCGAGAGTCTTCTGGGGAGCGGAAGAGCGGATCCGCAGGGGGATAGGCTCAGGGCAAGACCAGCTTTTGGAGTTTGGACATTTCTGGATCAAAGCAAAACAGAAACTGTCAGGGACTCGAGGCTGGCTGGTATTTGGGAGCGAGGGGGGTATAATCCCCAGAACGGGGCAGAAGGCTCTCCTGAAAGGTCCCCCACCCTGTTTGGGAAGGGGGCATTCTTCAGTTATTACAATGCATGATTGCTGATCCTTTTCAAAAACATCAGCAGCATAGTTTAAAAACAGGTTGCTGCTGCCAGCAGATGGGTTTTTTAAACCACAACCTTCTGTAAATGGTTCCTTAGTTGTTAATAAAAGGAGTGCTCTGAGACCTTTCTGGACTTTCTCTCTTTAAGTACAGGAATTGGGAAGAGAGCTTGAGCTTGGGCGCACTAAACAGACCTGGGCGGGCAGGCGGGGCCCAGCTCTCTCCTCGAACAGTGCGGGGGGAGAGCCATGGGTGACCAGATTCGGGGTTTGTAGGACGCACCCAGGCCCAGCAACAAACGAGGCCAAAGCTGCAGAGCGATGGCGTCGTTCAGCTCTGGATGTTTTTCTGGCCACTGGGAAGGGGAGAGACTGCACAGGGCTTTGACGCAGCCAAAGAGGCACATGGCAGAGATGGGTGGGAGCCAGCCTCGTCGGTCAGGACCGAGCAGGTGGCCTCGGGTGGCGCCTGGCCCGCCTCGTTCTTTCTGGCAAATATCGCTGGCCCAGGAACCGGCGGCTGGGGCCTCGTGGGCCTAGCCAGGAGCCTTCCCGGCCTCGCCACTTAGCGGTGGTGGGTGGTCTGAGGCACGTAGCCGTGGCCCCTCCTTCGAATCTGTTTGCGGTGCCAGGGTCAGTCTTGGTGCTGTTATAAAACCAGGCATAACTCTGAGCATGTGTGGAGTGCGTCCCCATCTCCTGGGTAAGCCCAGGTAGCCCGAACACGGCAGAGCGTGGGCCGGCAGCCCCGGGGCGACTTCCAGCTGGCTCGAGCCTTCCTGTGGGGGGAGCAGGGAGGGTCCCACGCGCTGCTGACCAAAGGCCTGCTCCCCCCAGCAATACCTGCGGCCTGTCGAGGACGTGGCCACCTCCCTGGACGAGTGCTACAAGTTCGCCATCTCCCAGTCCTCCACGGGCACTGTCATGGGCGCCGTGATCATGGAGGGCTTCTACGTGGTCTTTGACCGGGCGCACAAGCGCATCGGCTTTGCCGTCAGCGCCTGCCACGGTAAGTGCACGGGAGAAAGCCCGGTGCGGATGCTGCCCTGCCTGGATGCCCCCTGCACAGGCGCTCCAGGCCACAGGGGGCACGGAGCCCCAGGTCCTTCGGCCTGAGCTTGCCTTTCCACGGGCGGGGGGTGGGGCTCAGCCCCCAAACCCGTCCTCAGGGCTCCGGAAGGAGTGCACCGCTGCACCGTCCTCCCGGGGCCGCTTGCCTCGTGCCCTTGCCCCGCAGAGCCCTTCTCTCACCCCAGCCGTGCCCCCGGCGCAGGGGCAGCGCCCTCACCGGGGGCCACGGGCCAGGCACAGGGTGGGGCCCCACACGCCTGCTCTTGCTTCCAGTGCACGACGAGTTCCGGACGGCTGTGGTGGACGGGCCCTTCCCGCACGCGGACATGGAGGACTGTGGCTACAACATCCCCCAGACGGACGAGTCGACGCTGATGACCATCGCCTACGTCATGGCCGCCATCTGCGCCCTCTTCATGCTGCCCCTCTGCCTCATGGTGTCCCAGTGGCGCTGCCGGCGCTGCTTGCGCCGCGGGCAGGATGACTGTGCCGACGACATCTCGTTGCTCAAGTGAGCGCTGCCCGATCCCGCCCCGCGTGTGCCGGCAGCCGGAGCGCGGCTGCCCGAGGAGGGACAGAGGCCTGCTGTGCCGGGGCCCTCGCTGCACCATGCCTGCCGGCTCGGGGCCGGAGCAGGACTGGCTGGCTGGGCCGGGCCAGGCCGGGCCGGGCCAGGCTGAGCTGAGCCGAGCGTGGCCAAGGACTTGCCGGTGCTTCCCCACAGCGAGCAGGACAACTGCCTGCAAGAGGAGGGGAGGCCCGCAGCTTGCCCTGCCGGGAAGGGATTGGGGAGGGTGGGCCAGCGCTCTTCCACCGGCCCGCAAGTGCAAGGGACACCTTCCCCTTCACTTCACGGTTCGCGTCTTCTGGTGGCCGCGGCTCTCAGTGGCCCCCTCCTGAGGTTCCTGTGTCTTCATGAGATCCTGCAACATGGAAGGGGCTGCTGAAAACCCCCCCTGCGGTGTTGCTTCTCTGCAGAGCTGCTGAGAGTAGCTGCTGCTTCTTAGGTGGTTTGTGTGTGCGCGTGCGCGCGTGCCACTTTCAAAGTACGCATCTCTGATGAACCGCCCTGGGGAAAGCCGCAGGGCCAGGGAGGGGCTGCTGTCCATTCGGGGCTGCCGGCTCCCCACATGGTCCTTCCTGGGGGCCCCTTTTGAGTGATCCCCGGAGCAGGGCGACCAGTGCTTCAGGCACCCCCCCACCAAGTGAATTCCTAAGGAATTCCTGCCTCTGGCCGGGGGTGCCCAACCCTTTCTGGTGGCGGAAGCCTTTGCAGGCGGGGGGCCAGAGGCAGCGGGGGCAGCCGCCGCCTTCAGGACCCCACAGGCCTGGCCATCCTCTCGTCTGTTTGCTGCCCACGGGGGGCCTTTATGTTCCATCGGTGCAGATCCTGGCTCAAAGAGCCTCGGCCTGGCCCAGCAGACCCCCTCCCAAACTCGGGCGAGAGCCCACCTCCCTGAGCTGGACTCTGGGATTAGTGCCTGGTGCCCTGCTTCTCTCGCGCCTCCCCCCGCCCCCCCGGCAGCTCCCGGCATTGGAGACCTTGCTGCACTGACAGTATTGGCTGCACGCGCTCGTCTGTAGCACAGCACACAGAGCCGCTGTCCTCGGGCACCCTGGCCCAGGGTGGGATGTGCCGCAGCCCCTCGCGGGCGCCCGACCTGGTGGTTGGGGAGCAGGCTGTAATGGCGCCCCCCATGCTAAGGCTCTGCGGCCCGGCGGTGCCTGCCGGCAGCAAGCTCTGTGGCGGGGCAGGGTGGCCCTGGAGCACCCCGGAGGGATGTGTGCTCAGCTGGGCTGCCTGGCTAGCTCAGAGCCTCCAACCTTGTCTGCAGGGAATGAGGCACCCCTTCCCAGTGCCAGCTGAAGCCGATCAAGCCAGCTGCCCCAGCTCCCGCCACCAGGGCCCTCCTCTGCAGACCAGCGCGGAGGCCTGCTCCCCGTGCACGAGGCTGCAGCTCTGTTGCAGTGGCCCGGCCCGGCTGTGCAGCTGCGGCCTTGGGGCACATCCTGCACAGCGGCCGGAGTGGCATCAGGGCTGCTCTCCCTTCCAACGGGAGCCGGGCATCCTTCTGGGATCTGTGTGGAGAGGCCTGGCCTGGAGGCCACTCACGCACCCCTGCAGGATCAGCGCAAGGGAAGGGCGCCTGCTCCCGGCTGGCCGGCCGGCCCTGGAGGGGCCAGCAGGAAATGGCCCCGGCCAGGGAGATGGGGGCCACAGGGTGCCGGCTGGGTGGCCTTCCTCCACCTGCAAAGCCCACAGGCAGGTGGGGCAGCTGCAGCTGGGTGGGAGCAGAGCCCCCCTCCCCAGTCCTGCCTCAGGGAACCTGCTGGCCTCCCCGCCCGCCCCCAAGCAATGCTGGTTTTCCACCTCTCGCCCCCACGATTTTCAAATGCATACTTTGACTGTGCTGCGTGCTCTTTCGGGAAGCTCCTTGCGTAGCGCCAGGGCCGTTGTAGTGTGGACGTAGGCAGCCGTGTTCTGTGTGCCGGAGAGCCAGATGCTTTCTGCTTGTACAGTATTCTGTAAATATTTGTAATGCTGGTTCCCGAACCCCTCGTTTGTCTCAAATGCAAGTGGAGGGAAGAGAGCTGGACCAAGCTTTTTATTTTTTGAAAACGTCCAGTTGCTTGCAAGTGCTTGTTTGCACAAACTTCATGGGCAGGTGGACTTTGAGCCACCTGGCCCGGGGGGAGGGGGGGAGATGCACTTTAGGCGCAGTGCCAACAGAGTTCTCTCCCCCTTTTCTGTTCCTGGCCACTAAGATTGGGGGGTGGGGTGGGGACGACGTGTGAAGTGGTCAGCACAGCTCCAGTGGTTTGCATAATTGTCATTTTCAGATAATCTCACTGCAGTGCTGGCAAGAGCCCTTTTCTGCCCCCGTCCGTGGTTTCTCGAGCTGGGCGCCCCCGTGCGAAGGAACCTCAGCCAAAGGAGGCTTTGCGGGATGGGCAGGTTCGCGGCCAACCCTGCAGCCCATGGCTGGCAGCTCCTCCCGCACATCCTCGCGCCGGCTCTCCGTGCCCACTGGCTGGTCAGAGCGATGGCTGGGATGGTGGGCAGGGGCCGCAGGGGTCAGGTGGGGTTTAGCAGGAGCTCCAGTGCAAGACCGTGCAGAGTTGCACCTGGGGCTGGCCTTGCCGGTCTCAGGGCGAGTGCCGCAGCTGCGCCCGGACCCACGAGCTGGAGCCCCGGGGCATGAGGCCGTGGGCCAGGCAGGCTCTGCAGACAAGGCAGTCCACCTGAGGGGGCCGGGGCAGCCCCTGCCCCACCCCACCAGCGGTCTGTGGCCACGGCAGCTCCCCCTCTGGCCTCCAGACGCCTGGCAGCCACTGCAGGGGCCTCGGGGCAGGGGGTGGGCTGCCGGCGGAGGCTGGGGGCTGCTGCCTGCAAGAGGGACGCTCCCCCTCCAGGCACAGCCCAGCTCACGCCACCATTTCTCGGAAGGGCTCCACGAGGGGAACGCGTTTCAGGCAGGCCCCTGCTGTGGCTCCCACGCTCTACCTGCCCCCCCCCGCCCGCCCCGATGTCTGTGTCAGAGGCATGAATGTTGTGGTGGTGAATTATTGCATTAGAGGCAAATGCCGTTGCTGCTGCGCGGCCCAGGGCAGCCCAGCCCCTGCCACAAGCACCGTGCTTTCGGGAGGGCCGGACCCGGGGGCGCTGCGCCGCCGCCACCATCCAGCTTGCTGGGGACGCACCTGCACACCCCCCTCAAGGAGGGGCCGCTCGGGTGGACAGGCGAGCCCGAGGTCTGCATAATATACACACTTTATTATGAACGGTATGTATACAGACTTTCTATACACACATTCCCTCTAGAATAAAAATGTACATGTGTATACATGGCCGTATAAATATAGAATTGCAGAAGTTCTGGGGAGGCCCAGTCTCGCTGGCATTCTGCTGCCCTCCCGGGCGAGTGCGGCTGCCGGCCTCTGCGCTCCGGGGTCACTTCAGGCTGGGGCAGAAGGGGCAGGCGTCGTCCGTGTTGGTCTGGGCCCAGAACTTGATGCACTGGAAGAGGGCGAGCTCCGTGTTTGCCCATGGTGCAGCGGGAGGGAGAGGCTGAGGGCGGAACCGCTCGGGGTCCCGCCCAGAAGGAGCGCTGCGGCCCTTCTGGGTGCAGTGCTCAGCCACCCCGGGAGAAGCCCGGCAGGGGCAGGCGGGGCACCCGGCCCAGGGGCAGGTGGCCCGGGACCGCTGCCGGCGGCGACAGCTGCTCCTGCCCTTGGGGCAGATGGCAGCGCCCGGAGCCCCCTCACGGCGGGCGAGTGCCCTGGGCTGCCCCAAAACCCCTCACCTCCTTGTGCAGCACGTGGGAACAGGCCATGGGGTGGAGCTCGTTGGGCTGCACCAGCTTCTGGCACATCAGGCAGAGTTTGCAAGCCGCAGGAGCCTGCCAGGGACAGAGAGCGCCAGGTAGCGGGGACACGGGCCCGGCCCTCCCTCTCCAGCCCCGCCAGCCCCAGCTCGCCTCACCTGCGGGGAAGTCCCAGCATAGGCGACCTGGGCAGGAGGCAAGAAGATGGGGCTGCTGATCTGTGGCAGAGGACTGGGGAACATGGGAGCACAGATCCGTCCGTGTGGCTGCAGGAGAGAGGGGGGGCGGGTGCGTCAGCGACCCCTGCAGACCTGAGCCGGAACCTGCTGGCCCTGCCGGAGGGGCCCGGGTGGTGAGGGCGGGCAGCCGGCCCACCTGTGTGCCGACGGCGGCCGCTGCGGCCGCTCTCTCCCGCTGCTCTGCCAGCTTGGCCGCCACCAGCTGGTTCAGCTCCTCCATGGTGAGCCCCGCCAGAGTCCTTCGTGCCGCTTTGATCTGCTGCAGGAGGTTGGTCAGCTGGGCCCTGCGGAGGGGGGCAGAGCGGGCTCGCCGTTAAGGGTGAGGGCAGGGGACGGCCAGGGGCTCAAGGGGGAGTCTCCTCTCGGGGAGACCGCGCAGGCCCCGAGGGAGCAGCGAGGCACGCTGGGGCATTCCCCCCCCCGCGGGCAGAGCGAGACGCGCGGCTCCTCCGGCCTGCTGGCTGACCCCCCGCTGAGCTGGCACCGGCTGCGGTCCCCGCACAGTGCAGCCCTCCGCGGCAGAGCTCGCAGGAAGCCAAGCCCCTGCCGGGCTCCACGAGGGGCGCCGCTCCGCCCAGAGCGCAGTGCCTGCCCGGGCAGGAGCAGCGGGGTGCCCCACCCCCGCCGGGTGCAGGAGGTCCCCCCAGCGCTCGCGCCCCCGAGGAAAGGCCCGCGACTCACTTGCTGCACTGCGGAAATCGCGCCAGGAGCTTCTCCAGGATCTTCTCCAGCTTGTCCACGGGCGGGGGTCGGTGGAACTCCGCGGCCGGCTTGACCCCCCCCAGGCCGGGCGGGGCAGGGGGCGTCGCCCCGGGGGCCCCGTGGGGGCTGGCCAGGGAGGCGAGCACGGGGCTGCTCCGGCCCTGGGGAGCCGCAGGCAAAGGGGGCGAGGGCTGGCTGGGCCTGGAGAGGGAGGGGCTGAGGAGCGGGAACGACAGCACCCGGGGGTCCGCGCTGGGCATGACCATGGGCATGGGCACCGACCCAATGGGGAAGGGGAGCCGTGGGGCGAGGGGGGCCGAGTTGGGCTGGAAGGCTGGCAGCAGGAAGTCTGTCTGGGGGGTGGGGAGAGAGAGAAGTGGGGGGGCTGTTACCCAGGGGGCCACTCCCGTGCCGCACAGTGGGTGGTCCGGCACGCCCGCCCGCCAGGCAGGGCTTGCCCTCCCACGTCCCAGGGGCAATCCGGGTTTCTGGCCGATTGCCCAGATCCAGGGGCTGCACGTACAGCCCCCCTCCCCCCAGCCTCAAAGCAGCAGGGCCAGACTCACCTCGAGCGGTGGGGGCGGCAAGGGCGGCGTGGGGATTTGCGGGAGGCTGCTCAGCTTGGCCCCGTTCCGGACCAGGTGGATGTGATCATTGAACTGGTCCTGGCAGGCAACACGCAGGTACATGAAGGCGGCTGGTGCAGGCAGCGCAGTCCCCTCCAGCCAGGCAGGGGGCCCCGAGGAAGGCCAGGAGCCCCAGCTGCTCATCGGCCGGCCCATTCACACGCCCCGGGTTCAGCTGGCCCGGGCCTCCCGGCTGGACCGGCGCACGCTGTGGGCGACCTCGCGCGAATCGCAAGTCCTTCCCCCGCGGCTGGCCATCCCCACAGCAAACACGGGGCAGGGGACCGTGCTCGAGCTGGGACGAGGTGCGGGCTGCTGGCACGCCTCCCATCGCCATCCTGCTGCCGTGGGGGAACATTCAGCACTTACTCGGACGCTCTCCTTGGTCATCCGTATTCTGTTCAGCCTGGTCTCCCACTCCTGCTTGGGCCGGATGGTCTCCAGCGAGGGGGGTGCCGACCTGCTCAGGCGCAAGAACAGCAGAAGCGAGCGGCGTCAGCCACGTGCCTGCCAGTAGCAAGGGCAAAGGGAAAGGAGGGAGCGTGCCTAGCCCCGCTTCCTCCCGCGACTGCCCCAGGCCCTAAGCCGCGGCCCTTCTGAGCAGAGATTCTGTGCCCGGCGCTGGACGCATTCAGTCACAGACGGGCATGTGTGATGTCACAGGACAAGCAGTGGCTTGCGGCGCAGCAGAGACACTGCCGCTCGACTCCTATTCCAAGCGAAGGAATGCCAAGGAAACGGCCCGCTTTGGGTCTCTCTTGCTAGGGCTGCCGCTGAGGCTCCGGAACAGCATTCCGGGGGCTGAGGTCGGCTTCAGAGAAGCGTGAGAACTGAGCAGCCCATCTTGCCGGCCGAACCGCCCCCGTGCTGCGTGGCCAGCCGCAGCCAAGCGCAGTCCTCTAGTGACCCTGGGTGGTTCAGCCGGGGGCTGTAGAGGCCCCCCTCTTGGGCCCTGACAGCCCAAGAGGGACGGGGCAGAGCTCCAGGGGGAGTCCTCCAGCCAGGTCACACTGACCTGAGGTAGGTGAGGTGTAGCTCTGCTTCCTTCTCTGCCTCCTCCAGCTTCAGCACCAGCAGTTCCTTCCGGCTCTCCAGGGACAGGATCTGGGAATGACCAAGAGCCTGACCTGCTCCTGCTCCCGCTCCCAGAGGGAGGAGCCCCCCACGGCCCCCAGCAGTCCCCCAGAGCATCCCTCCTCAGCTGCAACACAGGCAGGCTCAGGGGCGCCCGTCTCGGCCCCAGGGGGCTGCCGCCGCCCGCACTTCCCAGGCTGCCGGGGACCGGCCCATACGTGCCGCCGGGTGGCCGACCCACCTCTGCTTTCCAAGCCCGCTCCGTCTCCTCCAGAATCGACCTGTTGATCTCGTTGTGCTGATTCTTCAGCTTGTCCAGTTCCATCTCCCAGACTTCCCTGCACAGCAAACCAGAGGCAGGGGAGTCTTTAGAGGCAGTGCCCGGTCCCGCAGAAGGGCTCCACTCTGCGGGCGTCCCGTCCACCGCAGCCCTTCCTCCCCAGCCACTGGCCTGGCAGGCAACCGGGGCCCGTCGGGGCGCGAGGCAGGCCGTCTCCCACCGACCGTGGGCCACCCTTCTGCGGCTGCCGAGCAGGGTCTCCCAGCCCAGCCAAACGTGGGGGGGAGCGTGCGGCCCACGTGAAGAACGGGCACTTTCGTACTGCTGCCAGCAGGCTATTCCAGGTAGCCCAGCACTGCGAGGGGGCATTTTGATCTGCAGTATGTGGTTGCCCAAGGCCATTAAGGCCTTCTCCACTTGTGGGGCATCTCTGCAACCTGCAGGTTGCTAGCAAGGGAGGCGGGGCAAGCCAAGCGGCGCTGCGCTTGGAGAAGGCTGGGAAGAAAGAGGCCTACTTCTCCTCGGACTGCTCGGCAATGAGCGAAACGATCTTGCTCTCCTTCTCCTCCTGCTCCTTCAGCAGCCTGTGGGAAAGAGGGCAGGGCAGGCGTGAGTGGCCAGAATGGAGGCGTGATGCACAGAGGCCCTGCGGCAGAGAGCCCCTCCCGGCCAGGAACCGCTCGGCAGGGCGAGGCAGGCCGAGCTGGTGGATTCCGTTGGGAAGCAGCCCTTGGATCCAACGGGATGGGTGCACCCAAAGGATCTTCTGGGCCTTGCAGCCGGGCATCGGAAGGCCTTGGCAGAAGCAGTATCAGGCCCACGCCCCGGGTGGCACGACGCCGATTTCCCTCCGTTCTGAACCAGCCTCCGAAGAGGACAGGACACTGCAGCCTCTGAGCTCTCCATAGTACCTTCTGCCTTTCTCACAGAGTTTCTCAATTTCTGCCTTTAGGTCCTGCTCCTTCTGCAGAAATTCCTTTTTCTCCTTTTCCATCTTCTTCTTGGTCTCTTCCCGTTTAACAGTCACATCCTGAATAGCCCTCAGGATCTCCTGGAAGAGGAGCAGGAGAAGTGCTTTCCAAGCTCAAGGGACTTAAGAAACCTTTAAAAACTTATTTTTTATATTATTACAGTGCAACTTCAGCACTCTCTGTGTTATCAAAGCAACTAACACATGCAAGTAAAACTAAACAATATTCACAACAGTCAAAATAAAATTTGCAATGGGAGCAATTCAGAAACAGGAGCATAAAAGTTCTTAGAGCGCAGAAAAGTATTGTGTGCCCTGCTCATTTTTACAACAGCCTTGCCAGGTAGGCTTGCACAACTGTCCCTGTTCAACAAACAAAATTGGAAAGACAAGATACTGGGCAGGATTGTGTGTAATAAAGAGCTACTGTGAGGGACCGCCTGCGCAGGGCTTCTTGCGGCACTGCCAGCCGCTACGAGTCGCCAGGGTGCAGGGCAACCCACCCGCAGCCTGGAAACTGGCCACGGGTTCAGGGGAACTGGTTAACTGCCCCAGGACCCATCCTGGCTGGTTCACAGGTAACAGCAGGCTGCAGTGTCCCTTCAGCCAGAGCCTTCAAAGGCGAGAAATCCATCCATGGTTCCTTGCTCAAGCCGCGATGCAAGCTCACAGCTTGGATGGGACACCCGGACCGCAGCGTGCTTTCTCAGCCAGTGGCCCACAGCCCCTTCCCGCAACAGCCAATCCCCCTCTGTGGTGCCCAAACAAGGGTCAAAAGGGGATTGCTCTGGCACCTGGTGATTCTTCATCTCTTCCTCCCTTCGCTGCTGCAGATGCTTCAGCTGCACCTGGAGCTGATTCTCCACCTGCCTCTGCTTGTCCAGCACTTCCTGGTAGCGCTCCTTCAACAGAGCCCGCTCAGACATCATTTTATCCTGCCGGGCCCAAGGAGAAAAGTAAAGAGAGGTTCCCGGGCTCGCCTCGGAGATCACCCCTCCCGAGGGCCCACCCGCCAGGGTGCGAGAATGCAGGGGTGCGTGATCGCTTGGCAGCGGGAAGAGGGCCGGCCGTCCCTCCCCAGACGCACGGGGCGCTGTGCCTGGCGGCTGCCCAGCCACATCAATGGCCACGCCTCCTGGGCAGAGGGCAGCAGGCCCCCCGCCAGGCGATGCCTCAGCTGGGCATCAGCTCAGGGAAACGCTGAGCACGCGCACCACACGGGCCTCCACGGTGCCTGCCCCCAGCTGCGGCAGTGGAGAGAGGGCCAGCCTCCGCCCGGGACACGGCAGGGCAGGCAGCCCGTGCATCCAACACGACACCAAGGCGGGTGCCACCTCGCCCCGGGAGCCAAGCAAGATTCCCAGACAGCCGCCCAGAACCAGGGAGCTTCCAAGGCTCAGGGGAACTTGGCAACCCAGCCGGCCCGTGAAGGCGGAGGCGGCCTTTGCCCAAAGCCCAGGAGAGGGACAGTGGCGCCTGACGGAGCCGAGGCCTCAAGCAGAAGACGGAGCCACGGCCCAGCAGGCTTCACCCTTCCCTCGCCTTCCCCGGCCAACTGAGGAGGCAAGAGGCTGGCTGGGCCACGTGTGCAGCGCCAGCTATGGGAGCGAATGCGCGTGCACTCACACGGGGCTTGCTCAGAACCTGCTCCCTGCGCTAGCCAGAGGCAGGAACACGTCCTCCGAGTTGCCAAAGTAGGCCCTGAGCGAGCCAGGAAGCCGCTGGAACATCCAGAGCGAAGGGGGCCACGCCTGGAAGCCGGTGGCCAGTTCCCAGGCGCCCTGGTCTGCCAGCTTGACAAGCAGCTCTCCGTCTCTGTACAGTAAACACCAGCTACTGGGGCTGCGGTGCCAGAGAGGGGCAGGACCTGAAATGCTTTGGGGGCAGGCCCCACCAGGCCCAGGTGTCAAGCACGGCTGGGTCATTCCAGCACTTGGTCTCCCGGGGGAGCCTGCGCCCAGCCTCCCTGATCCTGAGGAGGAGGGGCAGAGCGGGGCAGAGCTGGGCTCATCAGGCCTTCCAGACCCGTCTGGCGATCGAGCATGAACGACTTCTGCCCCGCCCCCTCTGAAGCCCTGCAGTGAACTGCAGCAGTGCTGAGGTTTAGCCTCCGGAACGGCTCTGATGGATCGGGGCCCTTGTCACTGTGGGGACACTCCAAGCACATTTCTCAGGTGTACCGCCTTGATGGACTGAAGAGGCCTCCCTAGGCGGGGGAACAGATCCTGCAAGCATCTGCCCCCGCCTGTCAAAGTTGCCCCACTCAGGCAGAGCCAGGTGCCCCGGAGGCAGCAGGAGAAATGAAGCAGAGCTGGCACTGCGCTCTCCAGGACTCTTCTGCAGCCCATGTCACAGGGCATGCAATGCCAAACTCCCTTCCCACAAAACAGAGCGGCGCCTGAAGCTGCCCCAGAGGCCCCAAAGGGTCAGAATTGGAGAGCCAGTGTTTACCCTTCTGGCATTCTGTGGCAGCTCCAACACCCTTCTGCTTATGCCCCCTCACTTCTGGCACCACAGAATCAACTTCCCAGCAATCCGCCAAGGGCTCTCATCATGGCCCAGGTGTCTGCCATCCTCCACTGGGCTTCCAGAACCCCTGTCATGCTCCTATGGTGGTCGAGAGACAGGAGCTGGGCCAAGGATCCCAACCAGGTTCAGCAGAGCCTGTGAGGGAATCAGGAAGCCCATCTTCCTGTTGATGACAACCCTCTGCTCTTGCAACACAAATATTGCCCAGGCCGCATGCTGACAGCCTGGGGAAAGAGAAGAGAAGAGGAGAAGCCAGCTCCGAGATCATGAAGGCAGCTTGGCTGAACATTTGCCCCCCAGGTTTGAGGATGGCTACCAAGAGCTTTGTGAAGGCCTGAGGGGGTGATGAGAGGCCCAAGAGGAGAGGCCAGAAATGGAAGCGGACTCCTCCGGAACCAAAGCGCAGTGCCTGATCGGGCTGACATGTCCAGGTAGGCCTTCATAAGGTTGGCTGGAGCAGGCAATCAGGCTCTGCCTTGGCTTTGAGCTCAGGGCCTCCATTTGGGCTTGTGCTTTCAAGAGTGCCGACTGCCGAGCTGCGGCTTTCGGGTGCATGTGGAATGGGCATCTCCATTCTTCTCCGGTACAGTGAAAAGACCAAATGCACCCCCCATCCTCTGAACTCACAGGGTGCTGACTTCTCAGCACATTTACAGAAAGCGTCAACATGGATTTTGCAGACTTCCAGGACAAATCACTTCTCACCGTCTCCAGAATGTAGTGATCCATGGCAAAACTCTTCCAAAAGTCCTTAAATTTCAGAAGGTCATCCCTAGCTAGGCTGAAAATAGCCTTGCCGAGCTAGTTTTTTGCTATCATAGCAGCCAAGGCTTTAGCTGTTGCCACATCCAGGCTAGGAGTCCTTTGCGGGCTCTGCAGGAACACAAGGACCTGGGCTGCTCCGAACTCTTGCTTCATGCTCCTTGTGCAGTCTGAGCACAAGCGTCTTCTTGTCCTTGGTATCCGTAAGGGCAGCTACTAAGGTAGCCCAGAGGTGTCTTCTGGAGAAGAGAGCATTTGCCAGGTACACCTTTGGCTTGGCATCTCCCTCCCAGCTGCACACCCAGAGGATGCACCTGGTTGCTATGCTGGAAGGCATGGAACTGACATCGGGTTGAAAGGCATCCACTAGGAAGGCTGCAGATGGCAAACCGTACGGCGAGACTCTGGCCTAGGTCTTTTGTCCCCCGGAGCCAAGCAAAAGCTGCTCAGTCAACACCTACGGTCCAGCGGAGGATCCGAGGGCCCTGGAGGAGGCCTCAACCTCCTGCCTAGGACAGTGTCAGCTCTGCTGTCCTTGGAAACTCATCCAAACCCAAAGGCGGAAGCACCCTGCACACAAAGGCCGCAAGTGGGCCAATAACCTTGGGAGCAGTCAGGCTGTGAGCCACATGATCAAAAAGGCAGAAGGATTTCTTCCAGAAATATTGTTATTATTCGGATCAATGGGCCTGGCCAGGCCTTGCAAATAACACCACTGACGAGGGCTAGAAAAGCAGCTGCAGCATGGAAGGTGGTGCCATAAGGAAGTTACTTCTGATGTTAAGTTGGACTCTGCTTTCCTGCCATTTCTACCCATGGTTCTAGCCTGGAAGTTTTCTCCCATCCTGGGCAGGTGCCCTTCCCCAGGTTTCCTCGGCCCTTGAGAAGAGAAACAGTGGACAGACCTATTAAGGCACCAATGCTTACCAAGTTCTTCTCAATGTCCTGATCAGTATTCACTTCCAGGTCAGAGGTCTTGAAGTCAGTCTGCAAAGGGAGAAGAGAGTTCTGTCTGTTAAAAAGGGGTCTGCATTTTGCGTGGATCCAGCATTCCTTCAGCAGAAACCCCGTGCCCGAGGTCGACGGCACTTTACAGGGGTTTTGGTCATGGAGGCTTGGAACTTGCGTGCCAAACTTTGCTTCCAATTACCAAAGCAAGTCCAGTAAGATGAGCTGCAGCAGGAAAACAGAGTGGGCCTTATGCCCCCATTTACATGCCTGCTCCTCTACCAAGGTCACCACCTGTCTTTAACCCGGGCCTACACTGTTGCTTCCAGGGCTAAACACCTGCAAAAGATGTGGCCCCTTTGCCTCTCTCATTTCAGTGCATGGTGGGAAGCCCCTTCTAGAGGACAGGAGAGCCCCCCCACCCCCGGCCCCCAGCGCCAACACCAGCAGGCCTGGCTGAAGCGTCCACAGCAGGCTCCTCACCTGGACTGCAATGTTCTGGGAGGGCTTTTGGGAGGCACCGTCCACATCCTGTTTCTCCCCGTGTGGAGATGCTGCCAAGGCCGTATCCTCCAAATCCGGGCACCCATTCTGCCTCCTGCCATGCTGCAAGATCAAGGATCCCAGCTCAGCCTTGGAGCAGTTAAGGACGGCACCGGTCTGGTCCGCGGAGGGGTCTGTCTGTGGAAGCGGCGGAGCTGTCGGCAAGCTCTCCCCAGAGAGAAGGGGTCTCTGTTCTGCCACAGCAGCATCCAGGGCGGGCAAGGAGAGCTCCTCACTTGCGGGGCTGGCCGGAGACACGGAGGCAGCCTCAGCAGGAGGGCCAGCCGGAGGCTCTTCAGAGGTTTCTAGGTCCTCAGGCAACAGCGGGGATGAGTCCTTCTCCAAGATCCCACAATCCCCGTCTGCTTTCTCCGGGTGCACGTCTTCCCAGCTCTCATCTACTGTTGGGTGGGTGCAGCCAGCAGCGGCCAGTGGCAGGCCATCATCGTTGTGAGCAGAAAGGTCACTTGTGCTGTCCGAGAGAAAGAATGGAACAAGAAAGGGGACACTCATCACTACCCCGGGCAATCTCCAGCCAGGCATGCAATCACATCCTCTCCTCAAACACAAAGGTGCCAGAAGGAAGAGGCAGGTGCCCTTATAACAACCCAGGTGCCATTTCCTTATCTGTGTCATGTCTGGGAGTCAAAAAACCAGTTCAGAGGCTGAGGCCGCGCTTCTTTGTTTGTTTCCTGGTGGCTTCCTGGCAAGGTCAGCTGCTCCCACTGGCAGACTGAGCCAGACATGAATGGCTGGAGAATGTGCAGCAGCAGCCTGCAGCTCTGAAGGACTCGTGCTTATTGTCACGTGTGCACAAGAATGCAGTCCTTTGTCCATCTTCTATAATTTCCAGAACTAGCAGCCTCAATGAAATACTGGCTGCAACAGGAATACTGGTGTAACAGAAAGGCCTGTAAGGCCATCCAGTCCAACCCCTGCTCCGCATCCACATGTGGTCCCCCATCTGGCTGCAGGTCTGCACCTCTCCAGCCTGTCAAAGGTGACTGGACACGCTAGCATGATACTTAGTTATGCAGGCAGATATTATGTCCACAACTCACTTATTAGTATTTCAACTTGCTTTTCTGCCAAAAACAGCATTCAAGGCTTTCGGTTCTTACATATACAGTCTTATTTCACATACATCACACCACTGTTAGTCAGAGTTCGTATCCCTTATCACAGTCAAGGTTCTGAGAGCAGGCGCCTTGCCTAAGGACACCCAGTGAATTCACGATAAAGAAAGAATTCAAACTTGAGGCAAAAAGCTTAAGCAACATCAGCTTCCTAAGCTGGGCAAACAATACAGCGCAGAAGGTCACAATTTGTGTCATGTTCTTTAGACATTTAGAATCGGTAACAAGTTTTGCTGTCTGCATGCAATCTCTCAGCCTGGCACACGAGAAATACTTGCTGACCACCAAGGCCAGCCAAAGGTTGTGTAGCTCAATTAGCTCAGGAACTCAGGACCTGAAACGAGCAAATTCTGGGGATTTCCACTTCCTACCTAAACGCCAACGGGCGGGACTCCTCTTGCTTCCCTGGAGCAAGAGTTCTGTAACTGGGGCCCTGCCAACAAAATACCCAGCCCCATGTCCCTACCAACTAAATTTCTTTTGGTGGTGGGGCATGCAAAAGAGCCACCAAAGCACATCTCAGCTGATAAAACTCTTGCGGGAGGAAACCGCGAGCCTAACGTGGAAAGGACAGCCGGGTAGGGAGAGGACCACACTCTCTTGGCACCTTGCAACCTATTATTTTCCAGAGGAGGCCTCCAGGATCTTGGCCCTTCGAACGGCTCGGCTCAGGGGCAAAGCTGCTCTTCTGAAGCAGTGCGTCAGTCAACCAGCAGCCCGAAGCCGGGCCGGCATGTCCAGCCTACCTGAGGGGCGAACTGGCCACGGTGGTTGGTAAGCCGGGATCCCACGGGGCAGCCCGGGCGGGGGGAATGCTCGCCGCCGCCTTCTCGTCCTCGTCCTCCTCCTCATCTTTGGTTTGTGCGGAGGCCATCCCTCTCGCTCTGCAAGCAAAGAACCCCGCGGTCACGGTCGCTCCCCGCGGGGCCAGCGCGGGCAGGCCAACCAGCCCACGGCGGGCTGCGCGCCCCTCCGCGGGCGGGGGCAAATGCCGGCACTGCACGCGGGCGGCCCGGGCGGCCCGGGCACAGCGAGCGGCGGCCGCGGCGCCGCTGCAAGCGGAGCGGGGCAAAGCAGCCGCAGCCGCAGCCGCAGGAGGAAACCGCGACGCCTATGTAGCTCCGCGGGGCCAGCGGCGGCCCCGTCCAGGC